ACTTTGTCTACATTGAATGCTGGATTTAAGAGAAGCTTGATTTTATTACTGAGGAAAAGTAATAATCCTAACAATAATTTAGAATAACTGCTAGAAATCAGCAGTGTGGATAAGCTTTAAAAGCACAAGGATGATCTTGTGCTTGACTTTTTAAGGTAAGTGTGGATGTTCGGATATTAGTAACAAACATTTCGCTATTATTGATACTGCTGTGCTCATGAGTTCTCCTTAAGGAAATGCTTTATTCATACCTCTAAAATCTTTGTTTATGAGTTATTGTTGTTACTGGACACTTAAAGATCACAATGTCATTTATTTGCACATTTGAATTTGCTTTTGAAAATAAATGAAATATAATAAATATTTTATATTTTATACATATTAAAATGCAATGAAGATACCAGAAATACAAATGTAAATATATTTATTTCATTTTTAATTGTTTTAGTGGATGTTTGTAAAATGTAAATTAATATCTGTGACAAAAACTTGTCACTTCGTTCTTTCAGATCATTAATGTACTACTAATAAAATCGTACCTTTTTTAATGAAACATACCAGAAAATAAAATACTTTTTAATACATTCGTGTTTTTCTTTCTTTGCATTTGATCCATAATTTTCACGTACATATGTTTAAAACATGATCCTGTAAGGTTTACCTACAATGAAAAGGGTGAAAATATGACCTGTCTGTAATGGAGTGCAGACAATTTGGGGCATAATCTGTTACAGTTCAACAATATTTATTATTAGCTATATGACCCCTATCATATCCTGAATTTGAAAAAAGATAGAATTTGTAAAATACTTACATACCCAAAGAGTTGGAGCCTTTAAATGCATGACAACTTTGATTCTTTGTAATGGATTTATCAATTTTAGTGCCCTTTGTAGATCTATTAAAATGTTCTACACAATCATTTCACTGGAAATAGAGACTTTTGTTTTCCCCTTTTTGTGCTATAAATTTTAATTTATTTTTCCTATCAGATGTCACTGGTTACTTCTTGCAGTGTAACACTAAAGAATATTGTTGAGAGGAGACATCTGTCCTTCCCCCCGATCTTAGGGGGAAAGCATTAGATCTAATCACCACTCTTTATTGTAATAGTTACTCAAGCTCAAGAGAAGGCAAAAACAAGAAATGTAAGGTAATGAATTTTTTTCAAATAATTATAGGAGAACCATAGAGATAGCTGGAAAATTTTTGTAATGACGTGAGACAGAGATTTATAATATTATAAACATGCAGCTTAAAGACATGGGAATGTAATTCTGCCTATAATTTCTGTGAAGTAAGCCAAGGCTGAAAGAGAACATTAGGTATATACTATGAAAATAATTTATGCTATGACAAGGAGTTTAACATTTAGTCAACTAGCAGTTGGAAAGTACTAGAACATTTTAACCAAGAAAACTACATGAATTTATTATTATTATTTTTAAAATTATCTTTATAAACAATATGAAGTATAGCAACTAAAATCAAGGAGAGAGAGAGATTAAGTTTTGAGACCATCCAGAAATCAATCAACACTTCAAAATTTGTTAAATGTTCATGGTAAGCAATCATAGTAAAGAAAAGAATAAGAGAAGAGAATAAAAAATTAATAACCAGGGTAATAGTTAGAAAGAAATTACAAATAAGAATATGAAAAATATTTTCTTAAATTCTCTTATCTTTGTGAAGGGTCTAAATTAGCAAATATGGAAGATGAATTGTCACCAGGTATTTCCAAGAGTAAGTGCATGATCACAATTTACACTGTTTTCTATTCATATTAAATATTATAGAATAAGTTATCTACAGGAATGCCTTATAAATTTCCAAAACATTAGTGAGAAAAACAACAGAGACTGACCTAGAGCAAAGGAAATACTTCATGAGTGAGAAGCAGCTATTGTGTTATGCAAATAGCATAACCAAGCAATAAC